CGTAACTAGTTATTTTACCTGGCATGGCATGTAATGCGTATTGAGCTGCATAAACCATTTATCTGGTATATCTTTTACCAAAAAACGCTTCCTCCACCTGAGCGCTCACAATTGCAAATAGTCGGTGTTTTTACCAATATCCTGCAATCTCTCACCATGAATGCTGTTTTCCTAACATCTGAGTTGTCATATGTGACATCAGATCTTACTCCGCCAGCTGGATGGATATCATCGGAGCTAACACCACAACCCGAATCCAATACGATCCCACGCCGTGGCTCTCTTTCCGCTGCTTCAGAATCGTCACTCAATTCCCCTACGCCAACACCTCTGCAACCTGGTGGTACTGATCGCCGGAATTCCACCACCCGACACCGCTTCATGACTCCCGGACGACGCCGTCAGATATTTGAGGATAGACCCTAGGCGACGGCGGCAAATGTACGGGATTTCAAGATCCCAGACAGCGGAAATCCAGTCGGAAGATCGAAGAGGTTTTACAACTCCTACGGCAGCTGTGACTCAGTCCATTTACATTTATTAAATATCTCTTGGAATCGCCGGTACACAACTATCAAGCTATGAATTTTCCGGAGAATGTTATTTCACACCGACGGAGGTCAGGTGATGCGCCAGCTACAAGGCTACCGACGTGAGCAAGCTCTTGAGATGCTGGAATGGGGCGCACCAGAAGTGGAGGAGCTGATGAAACATTTGAGTGATTTTGAACCGTTTTTCATTTCCACGGGACCAAGATCTTGGCGAGGCACGAACTGATCAGTTGCTTGATCCCTGGATTGTACCGCCCGAGAAAATACGCCCGGTACAACCCTTGCTGACGATATTTGCACGCCTCCTAACACTCAACCCAGACGATATTACCAAATTGATGCAGTCTCCTTGACTGCAGACTATACTCTCAATTGTCACCTACACTCGCCATGTTAAGAAGTCAAACTGTTTACCCCTTAAACTGGGATTGCATCTTCACGCCTCAGGAACACGTCGCCGTGTGATTGACTTGCTTCATGAAATGGGAATAACAGTTGCCTACCGAAAGGTTCAGTCTACCATCAAAGATTGCAGCAGACCGTGTTGCAAGGATAGGCCAGCAGCCGCAAGTCGTCACAATGTATGACAATTTCGAATATACAATGGGAGTTCGGCAGCCACGGGCTGCTGACAACATTGAGTTCCAATCAGTCACCACTGGCTTGGCAATCAAGGGTCGGTGTATTCCATCAAGCGGGTTCACACAGCGTATGTTGAATCCTACATTCAAGTTGAGCATCATTCATTTGTTTGATGCGATGCAGCTTGATACTATGGATATTGAGGTATTCTGTCCGGTTTCATGCTATTAGACAGATATTACTCTGGATATTCAATACTAACATCCATCATTGCAGATGTCGAGGTTTCTAGTACATGAGATCCTGAAACAGTGCTTCCCTGATGCGTTCTCAAGGATTCAAAGCAAAAGGAACCCCAGTTTCCTGAACTCGACGACTAGCTCCTATCCAGACAAGGCGACAACCCCTTGACTTCCTACCTATCAACAAAAGCACGAACAACGGCAACATAGAGATACTGGAACACATTTTCCGGTACCAGTACAGATTGCAGGGAACCCATGACTAATGGTGCACTTCATTTAGTGTATGGAGATCAGAAAACCGTGGCACGCATCCATTCAGTGAAACTACGCCGACGCGAAGCAAAAGATCCGTTTGATCGTTTTGGCTGGGTTCTTTCCATACCGGCGCTATTCCACGCCAAGATGAACTGGCTTAGAATGATTCATGGGCTGCATTTTCTGCTCAAACACCAAGCTTGTGCCTCCTTACTTGCATATATTCGTTTACTGCTGTCACGACCCCGTGTGCAAAGTGATAGTGCTGATTTTTTTGCACTTGAGGAACTTATAATTCACACATTCCGCGGCAAGATTTTGGCTGCACTATTCCAGGAGGTCCAGAAGATGAATCCTCACCTGCAACCACTAGATGCTGGAGATACATGTTTCTTCAGAACCTGAAAGTTGAAGACTTCCAACACAGTGTGGATGCAGTGATCAAGAGATTGTTCCGGGACTTTGTACCTTAGGCGTCACACTCGGAATATTCGAGTAACCCGCCCCTATCTCATGCTTAAGATTGACATCAAGAATGGTGAGGTTGGGTGGATCCGCCGCCCCGTTGGTTTGGGAACAATATTTTTCAGCGGAAGCAAACACCGCATTATGCCTACGAGATGCTTTACCTCTACCGCCTCATTGCTACCGATGCAACTGACCCTCTCCTGAGACGGGGCATATTGATCAATAGTCTGGTCAACTACCGAGGGAGGCCAAATAGTTTCTCTGAGATCTATCGAGCGGTGAAAATCCACAACGGCAACATGAAACGCATACTGAGAGAACGACACACTTCCTCCAACATACTTGAGAACTTATTCGAATACAGTGCTATCAATGCCCCTGCCTTTCACAACCTCCATGACGAGCTGCATTGACGGTTTGATGTGCACGTCAACAGTGATACACCCTACAAAGCAGCAGATGTTGATATCTGTATGATTGCACAGCGCTTGTATCAATCCATGCTGGAGGAATGTCCTCTTAAACAGTCTTATGATACCCCAGATGTCCGTACTGCAGCAGGCAACCGACTTCATACTATATTCATAAGCTCAATGTAGGTGAATGTGAAGAAGCAGATGATTCTTCATCAGATGGGGAAGATACAGTCTTTACTTTTGAGCAGGAAACTCTGGCTGCAAGTCAGCTGTAAAGCTCTTGAACATTTCAGAAAGTCGTAAGTGTCAAAAGTGCCCTCCCCAATATACTAGACCTCTTGCGTATTAGGCAACTGAGACCAGACTTTTCTTTTCGTACCAGCTTGGGAATCTACTCCTTGAAGTCAAATCGATTTATCCATGGCCACTGTGCAGCGAATTGTTCAAATTGTTCGACCGTTCTAAGTTCCCATGCGTTGAATGCCCAGTCTTCTTATTTCCTCATTTCTCAACAAAAGGCATTCCATACCAGCTATCGTCATTTC